AGCGTTGTAAGTCCGCAGACATACCGCTGTGCCACTGAGGGGGGGCGTGCCGTCTCGACATGGGAAGGATTTAAGTTAGCAAAAAACTGACTGCAGACAGCGAATAGGAACGAGTTTTGTGGGTTAAAGCACCTAACACTTAACCTCCATCTTTTGTGACAATCATCTCATTATCCATCTGCGTTTTTTTTGGCCCAACAATTTTGGGTGCCATGGCCCCAGATATTTTCTTTTAAACATTATGCCCATTTTTTTTTACTCCAATTTTTTTTTTTTTAGTTATTCATGAAATTCTGATATTGTTGAAACTTATTATGATTAATGGCCTTGGTTTTGGTTTCGGTTTACGTACAATTTTCCGTCATCGTATCGTTGTATAGTGCTAATTTCATCGACTATATACAATTGATGTAATATATATATAGTGTTAGACTTGTTCTACGGGGTGTCCGAAAAGTCTGGAACCGTAGATGATTTGAGATACGTCACTGATTGTCTGAGAAAGTCGAGTTAATGCTGCTCTTAATTCAAACTTGTTTCGAACTACAAGAACAGCATATGAAACATATCTGTAAAATTCATTGAAGTACCTATGATTCCAGACTTTTCGGACACCCTGTATTTACTTATATATTTATAATTAGAAATACGCCCTAATAAAAACATAACACCGCAAATGCAAAATAAATGAATTAATCAGGGCACAGGCTATAATGTGGGAAGTATAAAATGTGCCCCTGGTGGCCTATCAGTTGGTCGTTTTATATTTCCTGTATTATTATACTGGTAACTTAAGTTATTTTTTTTATATGCATCGCTATTGTTTATGGAGGCTTTTTTTGTATTATAAATATATTCTGTTTCATCATAGGTTTGGCCTTGTTGTTTTTAATGTCAAAATTAACTGTTTATATTATATACATGTATCAGTAATGCCTCGCTCCACCAACCAGTGCAAAGTTTGGATGTCACCTATGTGTCTAACGATTTTAATAATCTACAGAGGGGGATGGCGCCCCCATAAACCCAGTAAGGAAGGAATTAGTTGAACAAACAGAAGCTCAACTTTTGGGGGGCCCACAAATGTCCAGTGGACTTATTACGTAAGAAATCGAGTTTCGATACCCGTAATGGACACAATAAGGATAATCCAATTTGTAGCTTTGTGCTTAAGTACAAGTTAACACATTATTAGATTTGCAACACAGAGTCGCGCTTGTAAATTGCTTACTTTAGAGACAGAAACTTTTTTTTTTTTGGATGACGTATCTATGATGCCAATCAAATTGAAGGATTTGATAATAATTGTTGAATAATTTGAATAATTGTATAATTGTATAATTGGGGTTGAATAATTGTACTTGTTATTTATTCAGTGCAGAATGTAAACGAATGAAGAAACAACTGTTTCAGCTCGGAATCTTATAATGTAATTTACCTGGCCTAACTGTAGTGGATCCTGGGTTGTATACTACAACATTCCGCTCGAAACATGGATACTCGTAATTTAATCAGTTAGCACAGAGGTTTTAAAAAACAAGGCAGACAAGAGTACTGAAGAAGCCTAATTTATTTGGCCCGGCCTACCTAGAAAAAAAAACAAAAAAAAAACAGGCGCCAGTTGAAGGAACGAGATGGAAGATACCAAGTAACATGATCAGGGGTGAAACACGTATACAGATGTACATGTTGTGGCTAAAGGCTCAGGTGTCTCTATCTTCATTTTTTGGCAGAAGGCCTACACCGTTTCCTCAAGTATCATCACCAGCTGCTTCTGTGAATGGATATCTATAGACACTTTTCTTTCAACCCCCTCTCTTCTTTCCACCCCTCTCCTTTTACTTACATTCCACTTTTGCAATTTCCTGTGTTTATTTGCTTCCAGATTTCATCTAGTCCGGAGACTTTTATCAAACGCGAGGTTTATACTTCTTATCATTTATTTATCTACAAATTAACGTAACGGCGTATTTTCAGCTTTTTTTTTAAAAAAAAATCTTATTTATTTACTTAATGTTGTTTTTTTTTTTGTTTTTTTGTTTATATCGCAAGATCACAGGTGGTTTTTGCTATCGCCCCTACCTTTAAGTTCATATAGTACATAGGGAGGGGAGTGTAG